ACTTTGTTAGTCACATCCAGAGTCACGTATAGAGCAACATCCAGACTTCAGGCTAGACACATCAACCACTCAACACAAACCTCTTCTCTTTCAGTTACAAGAGTATCTACCATGTAAAACAGGGGGGAAAAAAATGCCTGCAGTGTGAATTAGTCTGCAGAAGAGGCCACGGCACATTCTACCACTGTCCTATGCATTTATTCATATAGGAGTAGCAGAAGTTTGGATCTGTAAGGGCAAGCTTCAATTAAAAGAGTTGCTAGAGACTACAGTCTTCAGAGATCCCAACAAAATCTGGCACAGTCAGTGTGAAACAGGGAAACAAGAGTGGATGTGAGTTGAGTCTACCATGGTAAAGCCCCACTTACTCACAAGACTGCTCTTCATGCTGATGTTAAAGGTGTGGCAGGCAGGAAGGTGAAGCTCGCCCAGCCACAAAGGAACAAAAAGGCAAAGCTCGGAAACCCCAAAATGAGATCATTCAGCTGGGAAGGAGGAGGACCTGCTTCCTACTCCCAGAACTCTTCCTATTGGGCTTGACACTGAGTTAGGCTCCTGGGCCCATAAACTTTTAATTCTTCTTTGTATGGGGAGCCAAACTGTTTCCACTAAGTTATAACATAACGGCACTTGTCTAGGACACAGTTTCTTCAGGCTGATAAGTGCACTGGGCTTAGGTAACCACTTCCCAACCAGCAGGCTATTACACCTAGGGTAGCAGCAACAGAGCCTGTCCCCTGCATGTCCGGAAAGCGGCCGTCACTGCGACAGCAGCACTTGGAGTTCAGCACCGAGTAGCAATATGCATTATAGTGTCAGGTCTTTCAGAGGACTTAAGTACATGACTAAGTAGTTTGTGACTCCCAAACAGGCTTAAGTGTAAGAGAGACAGCAAGCAATTCAGCAGCCAAGGCACTCATATGCTTTGGAACACGCAGCTTCTCAGGTGCACCATTACAGAAAGATTTCATGGACTCCACTCAAAGTGCCTCAGTTTCTACTCAGCACCAGGTAAGCATCAAAGTGCTTAAGTGAATTTGAGTCTTCAGTGGCATACACCAAACTGGGACCACATTTCATGGCACGAAGGCATGGATGTGCTCTCAGGAGTACCTACTGACACTATCCCTGTTACAGCAGGAATGCAAACCCCATCTTTGCACGTAAAGGCAATTTCAAGGCAATCAGCTAAAGTGAAATTGTTCCTCATGCCAAGGTACACCAGTTCATTAAAAAGCAAAAGGAGGAACCTTCACAAAAGCCCTAACTCCTCAACACATTGCTCCAAGGTATTCAGCAGGTCATAGGACAGTAGAATGTTCCCCTTCCACAATCACCACCCGCAGCGGTTTCAAATCTGATATTGGAAGGATGAGGGGAAGACGAGGTCCCTGCCACTGACCAGGTATACTTAGAAAAAGAAAGTCACGCTGGCCAGTACAAGTTGCCCCATTAGCCCCGGACAGCCAAAGGAAACCCAGCGGGCCAACAAACTGACAGATAGGGCAAGTTCCTGGAAAGAGACGAGCAGGTGGTTTCAAACCGAAGCGTGCATTTCTGTCATTCTCCAGTGCAAGCAGCGAAAGCATCGTGTTGTCCGTAGTCCTGCTGCCTGTAACAGCGCCCTGCTCCCAGGCTGGCACGCTGCAGAAGGTGCTGATGTCAGCACGAACTGGCAGGGAAGGCTGACAAGGCTTTTAGCTCAGAGTCAGAAACAGGGCTCAGGAAGACAGAGAGGTACAGACCCGGAGGCGTGGGACACAGCCTCTTTACCAAGGACCCTAATCTCTGTCACTTCTCCTGAAATCTCTACAGTCTACTCACAGAAACACCTCAAATTCTGCTGGATCCACAATTTTATGATCATAATGTGAAGAATACAATAGTTTAACCAATAATTCTTCCTACAGTTTTCTGCCATGAGGAGGGCTGGAAAGGAAAATTACAAGCACCGTTTTAGAAACTTTTATTGCTAACTATCAGGACATCCAGAACAGGAGAGAAATGCTGCACCCTTTTTAGCCCTTATGATTCACGAAACAGCACGTTTCCAGCCGCTGCTCAGCCCAGGATTGAAGGCAGCCTAGTTTGCAACGCAGATCAGCTTCACTTCCAGGGGACATTACAGATTTGCATGTGGGTGTTACAGGCGGAAACGTTTCTCTGCCAGGTGGTTTTAAATGAAAACTCGTGGCAATTTTGCCAAGACATTTGGATAATCTGAAAAACTTTTACTGGCAATAACAGGAAGGGATGGTGACGATAAATGACTTTTATAATACAGCTGTGTCATCTAGATAGCACCACTGTATAGTTGTAACAAAGCTCTACAAAACTGTGTAAGCAAATTCTTGTCTCAAATTCCAATTTTGTAAGGGTTACTCTCTGGAAGGATGTGTCTAACTCTTGTCCCAAAAAGGAAGTGCTCAGCATACAGAACAGGCAAACAATTTCAGAAAATCTAGTGGCTGTCTTTAGGAGTCAAATCATATTCCATATGAAAACTATTTGCTGTGACCTAATTTTTGAAAACCAACAATATTGTTAAAGTGAATATACAGGGTTGTAAATTTCCCAGTGTATCTTCTATTAATTTCTGGGTCCTTATTTAAAGGAAAAACAAACAAACAAACAAACTATTTAAAATCACAATTTCTCAGACCAATGCAGAGCCTATACTGTTATTCTCATGATTTGAAAAAAAACGTTGTAAGGAAATAAACTTATAACTTCGAGTATGACAAACATTTGATGATAATATAAAGTAATTTCAAGTTGAATTCACAAAGCACTATTTTTGACCTCTTCTACAAAATCGTATTGAAAGTCTCTTTAATTTAGTAAAACTGCCAAAAATTCCCATAATCTCACAGAAAATGAAGTATTAGCTCGGAATTCAGAAATGCCAATACAAAAGAAGAGTAGAAGAAAAAAAATGAGAAAAATTTATCCCCTACCCCATATTAACATGAATAGGGCTGAGAAATTACCACCTCTACCAATAAAAGTTCATTCTTGCAGTGACTGTAAGATTTACAGTATTGTTCTACAACATCATCACAGAACCAGCAATCTTCACAGAATGAAAGCTAAATATTTATTGGGAAGTAGCTGCGCTGGAGGACAAGGAATGGGAGAAGGATAAATGTAGTTTAGAGCCTCTGAGCTACTCCTTTATTTAATTTTCTTCTGACAAATAGAAACTGAGGAGCGATCCTTCACTTACGTTTCCCCACGCTGACTAGTACAATGCATTTTCACGAAACATTTCTCCTTTCAACCGCCCCCACCTCCAAGACTAGCCACACCCCAAGCAAAATGAACAGCAACAGCAAACTGAACTCTTCGTCTTGGAGCGAGATCCGAGCGCCACGCTCCCGGGCAATACACAACGCCAGCAGCTGGGCCTCGGTACCCGCCGTTGCCATCACCTCTAGCAGCCCCTGGAAAAATTCAGAGCCGGGCACCGCCGGGAAGGGACGGAGGCAGCGATATACCGAAATGCTGTCCCAGCCTCAGCACGCACAGGGCCAGAGTCGGGAGCCTGCGGGGGGGTTTTGGTCTCTCCATCGGAGAGAGAAAGCCGCGGGGAAGAGCTGGCACCCGCATCGCTCAAGGGGGCATTTCTGATGCTGCCGAAAGAAATGCCCAGATCACGTCACACCTTCAGAGCATCCCTCCCAAGCGCAGGTGTATGCAACCAGAAGCCAGTGAGGTAAGGATCCAGCTCCCGTGGTAGGGAGGGTCTGGGTAACGTCAGAGGTTTGCACTGCTCCAGTCACCTCTCCTACCGTCCCCCCCCCCCAGCACGAACAGGCCTGACGGGGAGCCAGAAGAGGAGAAACCCTGATTCTCCTCCACAGGCCACAGCTTCAATCTGTTTATTCTCATCACTCGCAGCAGGCAATTTGGTAACGTTACGTTTGAAGCCTCTGTTGACGGGGGAGGCTAGAAAATGTGGTCACATGCGCCGTTTAGCAAGGATGGGGGGGCGGAGGTAGGATGAGAGAAAAGGTTCAAGAGAGGCTGTGGGGACCTGGCTTCCAAACATGGCACCTACCCACACCCCGCGCTCCCCCCGCATCCCCGCCCCGCGCTGCCGGCAGCGGGATAAACCCCGCTCCCCTCCCCGCCCCGTCCCGCCGCCACGCACGCACGCTTCCCCTCTGTCACGAGCGTGTGCCACTAATTGCCTTTCTTCCCTAATTACGCGCGCCCCGCTGTCGTGTCGTGTGTCCCCCCCCCCCCAACCCCCGAAGGAGCCGCTGCCCTCCCGGAGCAGACGGCGGCTGGGGCGGCGGCGCGGGTTTGGGGGGGGGGGGGGGGGGGGGGGGGGGGGACACGACACGACAGCGGGGCGCGCGTAATTAGGGAAGAAAGGCGCGGGTTTGGGGGGGGGGGGGGGGGGGGGGGGGGGGCGGTAGCGGAGCGGGGCGGGACCGGGGGGGGGTGGGGGCCAGTTTGGGGCAGCCGCCTGAGCCCCTCGGCGGGCGGCAGCGGAGGCCGAGCCAGGCGGGGGCAGCACGGCGGCCGCGGAGGCTCCCGCACGCAGGGAAACCCCACCCAGCGGCCCCTCCTGGCAGGGGCGGGGTTTTGGGGACCCCAAAGGAATCCCACCTCGCCCCTCACCCCTCACGGCGGGGGTTCCCGCCCGCCCCGCGCCGGCGGCTCCCCCCCCCCCCGCCCCCCCCCCCCCCCCCCCCCCCGGGGGCGGGGAGGGCCGCCGTCCCGTTCCGTCCCGGGGTTCCCCCCAACCTCGGCAGCTCTGCCTCGGGAGGAGCTGCTCGCGGAGGGGGGGGGGGGGGGGGGGGGGAACGGCCCGGGAGGAGGAAGTTATGGGGGTTCGGAGCGGGGCTCCGCGGCGCCAGCCCCGCCGAGGGGTCCCAGCGGGGCGGCCCCGGGCACCGACCGGCTCCCGCTGTGGCAGCGCCCGCTCCCGCCCGGCGGCGATCGGCGCATGAATGAGTGCCCGAATGAATGAATGACTGGCGTCTGCTTACTTGAGCATGGCCTCTTCTTTCTCCTCCTCTTCTTTCTGCCGGTCCATCACTGCCATGATAATGTTCCTCTCCTCCTCTGTCAGGTGGCTCAGGTCGGGCAGCTCCTGCATCGGGGGGGGCACCGTGGGCGGGCGAGGGCCGCGGGGCCCCACCGAAGAAGACATTTTCTTTCCTCCTCTCCCTTACACCTTCTACCTTTGCACGGCAGACCAAGCCGGCCTCTCCTCCGCCCCCCCCCTCACAGTGTAGTCCTCTGAGCAGCAGCAGCCGGCAGCTCTCTGGCAGCAGCGGAGGAGGAGGCGGGGACCCAGCCTTTCATGGTTGCTTGCATCCACCCCGGTCCGGCTGCTGCCGCCGCTGCTTTGCTGCTCCCTTTGTCTCCGCGGCTTCAGGGAGCTCGGGGGCTGCCGTGCCGCCGCCCGCTGCCCATCCTCCCGGCGGTGGGCGTGCGGGGCGGGGGTGCCGTGGCGCGGGGGGCTCCCGATCGCCGCTGGTGGGGGTGGGGGGGGGGGGGGGGCCGGGAAGGGCGGGTGCTGCCGCCGCCGCCGAAACGCTCCGGCGCTGCGAGCCTGGCGCTGGGAGGAGGGCGGGGGAGATCGGTGCCGGTGAGGCGGAGTCCGGGGCGCGCCGCCGTTGCCTCACGGGCGGCGGCGCCGCCGCCTGCCCCGGCCCCCGGCTCTGCCCCGGCCCCGCCGCCCTCCCCCCGGCTCGTCCCGCGCCGCGGGCCCCGGCACCGCCGCCGTCCTCCCGCGGGTTGCCGCGCCGCAGGTCGGGGCCGGGAGCTCGCCCCAGCCCCCCCGCCGGGGCTGCCGCCTCGCCCCGGGAAGGGGGCCGGCGGCTCGGAGCCGTGCCTGCTGCGGGCTGCCCGGGGGAAGCGCTGGGCTCCCGGGGCTTCGGGCGCGACCCGCGCTCGCCCCAGCCCCGGGGGCTCCAGCCGCGGCCCCCTCGCCTCCAGCCCAGCCCTGTCACCACTCGGCACTTCCTCCACACGCTTCTTATACCCGGTCAGTGGCACCCTCCCCCCCGCCACCCCCGTGCCACGGCCCCCACACACCTCCCGTGGGGGCAGCGAGTGCTCTTAACTCTCCTCGTCTGTCAGCCAGACCCATTTTTTCACTCCCGTGACCCTCCAAAACGGGCCGTGAAACATGCCACCGTGCCGACTGTTCAAGTGAGGGGGTAGTGCACAACGAAGCGAAAACATCGCTTCCAGACGGAGATAGCTTCCCTATCAATTTCTGATCTAGCAGCTCTGAGCAACTTGATTTTGGGGAGCTGGTAATGAACACAACAGCCCTTCTCTACAGGAGATCATCTGCATGTAATCCACCGGCCAGAAACATGCCTATGGCTCTGAAGGGTCTCTTGCTCAAACACATGCCTGACAGTAAATGAAACCATTCAGGCTACTTAGAAATGCAAAGCTGAAAATTGCACTTTCAAATAAAATGTAAACTACCACTAACACACACTGACACTTAAGACCCCTCAGTCATGCTTCTGCCGAGGTCACAGCATAGAAACAGCTCTGGTTTCTAGAGAGATCGTCTGATGGGCACGAACCAAAGGAAAAAAAAATCTATGCTGGCAGTGTTCAATGCTGCTTTCTGCCAAACTTGCCAGGTTTGGAATAGGGAGAGGGACCAGCTTTCAGCCAGCCACACTAATACCTCTCATGCAAATTCTGAGAGCTATGAACCTTCGTGACCCTTTGAATTTGAGAGGAATTACTGTGGCCATCTGTTTGTGTCCCCCCCCAAGAGATTTTCCGCAGGACACAATTTGATAACACAAATTTAAAAGAGAAAAATAATAAGCGCTACTATGACCACCAGAACTTTTGAGTGGTAATGTCCAAGTTCAGCTCAGAAAGTGAAGTCTCTCAACTCTTCCAGCACATGAAAGAAACTGAAACTTGAATGACCGACAGATGGCTCAGAAGAGATTAAAGTGGTGTTAATAAGCAAAGCACTATGAAGGGCTGGTAAATATCATAATGTCACACTCAGTTAAAGATACAGACCCTCCGCTAACTCGTGTGGTGATTTGTCCCAGGGCCTGGCCACATTATTACTGCTAGATGTAATCCTTCTAGCTAAGTACTAAAAAAATCAATAAAATCACTTCCCACCATCTGCGACCAGCAGGGAAGATAGCCTTCATGTTACAGGCTGATGCTAAAGAATTTATCCATTCATTACCAACAGGCAAAAGCATGGCAGCCACCTCAAAACTGAAGGAAACAAGACTGAGAATAATAAGATGATGAGAAGAAGGTGAGGTACCACCATCATACGTTTAGTATCAGAAACTAAAACATGACATGACTGGAACGATAATACTAGACACCATGATTAAGTTACTATAGGTATCCATAGGTAGTCCACACTCTTTCAGATAATTTAGGCATGCGCATGCCATGTAAAAGATGTAGCTCACATAACTGCAAGAACCAATTCACTAAAACAGCAACCCTAGTGTTGAAGAGTCACTGCTTTAAACAAAATATTAAAGGTTGTGCTGGTTTTGACTGCGATGGAGTTAGGTTTTTTTCCATAGTAGCTTGATGGGACTATGTTTTGGGTTTGTGCTGAAAACAATGTTGATAACAGGGATGTTTTAGTTACCGCTGAGCAGTGCTTGCACAGAGCCAAGGCCTTCTCTACCTCTCACCCCACCCCACCAGTGAGCAGGCTGAGGGTGCACAAGTAACTGGGAGGGGACACAGCTGGGACAGCTGACCCCAGCTGACCAAAGGGATATTGCATACCATATGATGCCATGCTCAGCAATTAAGAGCTGTGGGAAGAAGAAGGAAGGGGGGATGTGCAGAGTTACAGCTTTTTGTCTTCCCAAGTAAGGGTTATGTGTGATGGAGCCCCGCTTTCCTGGAGATGGCTGAATACCTGCCCACCAATGGGAAATAGTGAATGAATTCCTTGTTTTGCTTTCCTTTCTTCTGCCTTACCTATTAAACTGTCTTTATTGCAACCCACAAGTTTTCTCATTTTTACCCTTCTGATTCTCTCTGGGGAAATGCTACCTGGGAGGAGTGAGCAAGTGGCTGGGTGGTGCTTAGTTGCCAGCTGGGGTTAAACCACGACGGAGGTCTAAGGTCATAAGACCCAAGTGTCTTCAAGATAATTTTATTAATAAAATATTACATGAGGTTAAGTTATCCTACTCACCTTTCTGCTTATTAATTACTGACACAGTCACGTATATGTCTGTTCTGTATTATTGTGTTAATTGCTGTATGCTCGGTCAAGCATATGAATTCTTACTGCTGTGTGTGCAATACAAAATGAACACAAAGAGTATAAGGGGTTTTTATATATAGTTTCTTATATCTTAAAAGGAAAAGCTGAAAGCTCTTGTAGAAAAATGATTAAAAATAAAATATGGAAGTTGGAGTATGGACTTGCACCAAGCCGATATTGTGAATAAAACTGTGTTACTGAAAAGCACAGAATCATTTAGGTTGGAAGGGACTTCTGGAGGTCATCTGGTCCAGCCTCCCTGATCAACCAGGGTCAGCTAGAGCAGGATCGCATCCAGATGGCTTCTGAGTATCTCCAAGGATGGAGACTCCACAGCCCCTCTGGGCAACCTGTGCCAGTGCAGAGTCACACTCACAGCAAAAGTGTTTCCTTGTGTTCAGATGAGACCCCTGTGTTTCCATTTGTGCCCGTTGTCTCTTGTCCTATCACTGGGCACCAGTGACAAGAGCCTGACTCAGTCTTACTGACACCCTCCCATCAGATATTTAATCACATTGATAAGATCCATCCGAGCCTTATGTTCTCTAGGCTAAATAGTCCCATGTCCCAGCCTTTCATCATATGACATCCTCCAATTCCTTAAATATCTTCATTGCTCTTCACTTGACCTGCTCCACTATGTCCATGTCTTTTTGTACTGGGGAGCCATGAACCAGACTTAGCACTCCAGATGTTATTCCACCAGCACCAAGCAGATGGGAAGGTTCACCTCTCTCAACCTTTTGGCTGTGCTTTGTGCCTACAAAGTCTTAGGCACAGTACATGATTTTACATTATTTTTTCACAAAGACAGTAGAATTTACTAGAGAGAAATGTAGAAGAAACCATAAAAGTCATCTGATTTTGCATAGGGCTACAAGAAGAGACTTAGATCTTATTGTCAGTACTTCAAACCTTTAGTGGTCATTTTCTGATTTGTCCACATTTGCTTTGTAAAAACGAAATATCTGACATTGTCATCCAACCAACAATGTGTGGAAATCCCAGTTTAGTTCAATACATTATATCCTGAAGCTGGAATGATACATGAGATCCTTGGAGAGAATTTCATTGCCTGGTTAGTAAGAATGCCCCTGCTTAGCAACATCCAAAGTCTTGTAACTGAGAGGCATCCTGTTAACTCCAGTTCTCTGAAGTCCTATTTAAGGAAGACTGCTATGAAATCTAGAAACGGAATATCAATATCTATTGGAACATATCAGGTAAATTACTTTCTTAAACTTGAGAAACCAATCATTATAATGGAATCTGTGATCTTTTCTTCTCAGTTCATAATGACAGGTATCCATGTATGCCCCATGCATGACAGATGCGTATTTCTTTATGATGATAGACCTTCCCTCAATCCTAGGAACTTTTCTTCTCCCCCATATCTTCCTTTCAGATTGTCCAAAGACCATGTTCTAAATTGCTCAATTCCACCAATATTTTCAAGCTCTTTTCGTTAACCTAGTTGTGAGCAGTCATCCTCTGTTTTCTTGCCTGAGGCAAACTGAAAGCAAAAACTGGAAACAAACAATTCAGAGGGTTTTCCTGTAGGTTCCTTCCCTAGAAGAGTGGTTCTCTTCCTCAGGGTCATGGGAGACTGGGGATAGTGCAAGCTGTGGAATTTTCAGCCTGATGGGGTTTGCTGTTTGAGGGACAGTCATGAAGGATGAAATATCCTGTAGCATCAAGGGCTCAAAGTAAATTCTCACAATAGGTTAGTAAAAGTGAGACACTGTGAATTCTCTCTCGCTCACTTCCTGTTGAAGGAATTTAAAATTTTCAAAGACAGACCAAATTCACAGTAACATATCTTTTATTAACATATAGTGATTTTCAAGAGCAATTTTTGTTTTCACATCTGACATGATTTTTCATTTCTTTAAGTTTGGTGGTACTGTAGTATTTTGAGATAGAGAAGGTCACAGCTAGCTCTAGCATGAGAAGAAATGGAAACAGTCCTTTTCAAAGGAGACAGAAAACACTGGCACAAAGGGAGTTCGTTTCAGGTAGAGATTTCAGGGTCTGTTCTGGACAAGATCTGTTATTATACATAATTTTATAATGAGTGCCTACATCCTGCAGTGATTAGCATCTTAAAAATGCTCTCAGACAGAACTCTTGGTCTTTTTTTTTTTAATATATTTTATTTAAAAAAAAAAAAAAAAAAAAAAAAACAAACAAGCAAACAACCGAACAACAAAAGCAGCCTTTTAAACCAGAAACTAGTAGTTCCATTGGCAGCAAGCCTTATGGAACCTGGTTTAGGATGACAGCTTTGGATTCTCTTGTGTCAAGTAATGAAGCTGAGTTCACACTTCCACCTGTTCTTTAGCGA